CCGAATTTTGGTGGGTTTTTTGTCGGGAGACTCGTTTAGCCTGGTAAATCGCAGTTTTCGAAGTCAGTTCACTGTTTTCGCCTAGCGTTGGGAGCTCGACCACTTCCGAAGGTTAGACTTTCCAGATGAGCGAAGAAAGCCTTTAAGATTTGGGGTCGCTTTCTACATTACTCAGTGCTGTAAACAAATGGGTGCATCAGCCAACTCAGGTGCTCCCGTAATAGACTGTCTGTCAGAAGCCATGGGAGCCAGGTAGTTTCTCGAGAGGATGCCATGTGACTTGCGTTTGAGTTAGGTAGATTTTTGAACCATCTATCTCATTCATCCTTCCCATGTTAAGAGTATTACCGTGACAAGACAAAGTCAGGAAAACCAGAGCCGAGTGACTGATGACAAACTCGACCAGCCTGTTAACGCGTGGCACATGACCTGGTTCTTATCCCAGAAGTGCCAGGCTCCGTTTATGGGAGGGGGAGGGGTTTCCCCGATCTCCTTTTGTGGAGATGTTTCGTGAAGGCCACAGTAAGGAGCCATCGCAGTCTGACTCTCCGTCTAAAGGAGGGGTCGGGTCGGTTTCCCACCTGGTAGCCTTCTAAGCCACGGCTTTTAGAGCTATTGAGAGGTTCAGATGGGTCGTATTTATTATTATAGCGATTGATCCACTGAAATCCCCTTAAACAGGGTACTTATACCTGGTAAGGCTGTGATCATGCCCGGTCTAGCCGGCCTCCATAATTGCACCTCTCCACGCGTGACGATCTGCGGCATCGGACATGAACAACTCGAGCCATTCTGTCCTCAAGTGACGGAGATCGAATACCGAAGATCCCAAAGCTACTTCCATGTCTTGACGAACTGTGTCGAGCCAAATCTTAAGATGGCTTCTTCGATTCCTCCAGATGGGCAGTGGCGCCGTAACACTGAGCTCGTAAGACGGACGACAAAGAACGTGGCCGGTAGGGAGTGCGAACTATCCTCGCAGCGTTGGTCGAATACGTCCATCTGTCGCTCATCTTCCACGCGCAAAGCCCAGAATTCACAACCGAAGATGAAAACTGACGGGACGAATGCACGACGCACGCAGATCTTCGTGGCGATGGAGATGTTGCGTCGGGTCTACAAGCACTTTCTAAGAAGATCTTTACAGCAAAGACTATGAGGTTTATGCCGCGGTAGTCCTCGTACTTTGCTATACCTCCCTTCTTGAAGAACACACGAGGAAGATCTCATTTGCCCACTCCTTGACCATATCGTGATGTCAGGACGCCGGAGCGTCCATAGGAATCCTTTAGACTTAAGGTGGAATACCGTCCACTCGGGACGTATTGTTATGCAGTCTCACTACCGTATCATGAATTTATTGCTGGTAAGGAAGGTCACATGACACTGCACAGACTGAGGATAGAGCTCCGCTGCAGAGAGAGATGGGTGATGAGTTTGTCGTAGGAGTTGGTAAGGTGTTCGAAATGCTGACGCCAACTTTCGAACTTGGTCGAATTGCCAGCAGTAAAGCTGTCGCTCACTCCGCAAATAACGCCACTCGGTGCAGACGGCCTTCTACTAACTTGACAAATAATATGCTAGAATTTTCGAGTGCCACCAACGTTTGGGGCTTCCTCCATGGAGGTCGCCATTTCAGCCCAACATCATGTAGCTGGAGCTATCAGGACAGAAAACCGTAAGGTCGTTGAGCTGTTCTAGTCACTATGACGCTACTCGGTTAGTTCGGGTCTTCTCAGCGGCCTCGTGGATTGAGGGCCTCAATGATGGCGAATTGTTGCTGCCGCCGCAAAACGAGACCGAATCTCTGTGCCCATAGTCTTAAGTGTGCTGGGTTGCAATGGCTTTGGGACATCGACAGTTCAGCTGTCGCAAACGACGACGTCCACCGTGTGTTCTTGGAAGTGGACGCTAAACGGCTACCTGTGCGCGAATTAGTTTTATGTCGGGGTGGACTTGCACAGCATCTAGCGCACTCTCCCCTCCCTCGCCCACCTGGCTCCGGTGGTATGACAGTAGTCGTAAGATCATAGGCGGACTCCGCGCAGTGACTGACAAGGTTAAACGGTCCCTCTACACGTACCACACACGGCCTGGTCCACGGGCAGTTCACCGGGGATCCACGAGGGCTGTCCTGATCTTACATGCGTGACAGTGCCATAAAGGTCGCATTCAGAGGGAAGCATTCGACCTCAATTTTAGTCCTGAGAAGAAGCGAGTGACTCAGACAGTTGGCAGTCTTTCAAGCCACGACTTTTAGCTCGTCGTGGTGGATTCGAGCGCGTCAGCTTTAGTGAGAAATGCGCTGGTATGCTGTAGTCAACCTCACTCTCTTCCTTTTCCCACCCATCAGTCAGCTGTCCAAGCTAGCCGCTAGTCTGGCGCTAGGGTTGGGCGCAGTGGCTGGCCCGCGTGGAGCCTGCGCCCAGGCGGGCCACCACTCCCCCCCCTCACGTGCCGCAGCAATTATCGACTGGCGCGCACTCTACTGTGGGTCACACCGTGGACGTCGTTTGTGTGTGTGTGTGTGTGTGTGCCTTGAGGCGACCTACCCCTCCGCCTTGGTCTAGCGCAGCCCATTTTTAGGACAGTTTAGTGACATGAAGGCTGTTTGCACATGACAATGTTGGCACAGATGAAAGGTGAATTTTCAACCGCGTACGAGCAAGAACATGATCTGACTTAAAGGCGTTGCTAGTTTTGTCATCACGAATCGGTCTGCTCTCCGGAACCCTGAAATTGAAGAACTGCAATTTCGAAACTGGAGTATCTACCAGAAGAACACACTGGGAACGCTGGGGGACCCAATGATGAGCCGGACTCTTCGCATCTATGTCATGCAGCGTCAGAGTATCGCCGAAACACATGTCTGCTCTTTTCTGCTAGTACTTGTGGTATCAAGTATGGTATATCGTGCTACCTATTCATATATTTGACCTTTAACTGAGTTACAAGTAATCAATCTCGCTGCAAGTCCGCCTTGCAATCAGGTAATGCAGTGAACGATTCTAGAATGTCATTATGACCTGACAGGCCAGTACTCTTTTGTAGTGTCCCTTCTTCTTTGTGATGCGTAACTCCATTTGTTTACCCAAACGATTTTTGTTAACATCTCTTAGTACGTTAGTCGTTAGGTCGAAAACCTTAGTGATTTTGTTGGTAGTTCTGGTTTCTGGGATCTTACGCCTGGGTTTACGAGTTATGTCAGCGGTGGGAGCAGGGGAGGGGGGAGTTGGATACACCTTGTAGGAGTTACGGCCCACTTCAGGGATTTCAGTGCATGTTGCTCCTCTCGACGTCTGTCCGATATCCAATCTCTGCCTGTGGCTCCATACAGCGACGGCATCTTGGCGACCACTTTGCCTGGCGGGCTCAAGCAAACCAGGAAATCTGTGTTGTGGCACACGCCCTTACTTGGCGTAGGCTTGCCATTGGCCACGCTGGAACTGGCAAGAGATAAAATTGGACTAATACTACCGACGTCTTAATTATAACTTCGCACGTAAGCCATCATCACTGCTTAGTCACCCCTAACACCGATTCCCTTTCCCACCTCCTGTCCTCGAGGGAGGAGAGAGCGGTATGTCAGCGTGTTTGCACGCGGACCAGGTGATGGTTCACATCGCCTCACTACACACTGTCGTGGGCTGTTGTCTGATTCGACAGCTGCCTGTTGTCTCACTCAGGGGCTCACCAGGGAGGGGGCTAGAAAGGGTACCACAAACCGATGATGGTTCACGTCGTCTGCGCAACTGACCGTGGCCGCTGCATGTAACAAGCGATATTTCGACCGTCGTCAGCGAATGAGTCCATCACTGTTCTCCAAGGTAGGTGTAGTGGGGATTTCTGTAGGCATGAATTTGTTTCGAATGAAGCAGGATTACGCTTCGTCTACCACACGATTGCCGTGTTCTAATGGTCGCGGGAGTATAACCGGCGTGGGTCTTCCAAAACTTCTTTTATACGGCGATGCAGCCATGAGCGCTCGGAGTCAAGGCGAATGAAAGTGATGTCATGTGGACACATTGAAAATTCTCCTCAAATGTGTACCATTCAAACGAGGCCTACAAAATGATCGCGTAGGCTCGGTAGGCATGACAATCTGGCCAGAAGATGTGGTCGCTGGAACAAGAAGTTTATCGGCCTGACGTTTCGGATTCTCACTCGAACCCATCATCAGAGGCTGTTGCAGATAAAGGTAGTTCCGGTGGAGCCACCTGCGTACTAAAATTAGCAACTCTCGCGATCACCGCGTCAGGCCAATAAACTTCTTGTTCCAACGATTGCACCTTCTTCCTGGAACTCGCCTGTTCGCCTCTATTGGCAATGACAATCTCTTGTCAAAACTGCGCAAAGACTTAAGCCAACTGAGAAGATGAGACCAAGCAACAAGCGTAGAGGATGGCATTTCGCGGACTAACGCCGTCGACAACTGACCCCTGAAAATAGGTCTCCGCCGTCAACGTCTCTTCACGAAAGAAAAAGGTGCAATCACTGGAACAAGAGCTCTATTCGCCCCAATGTTTTTAATCTTCATCCGAAATCAGCCTCAGAGACAGCTACAGACAAGGGTGACGGGCACACAGGGGATGGCGTATTTATAGGTCTCAGTTGCCAGTTCCTGCATTCATCGCCGATGGTCGTACTTGGTGTGCTGGTTATCTGACCGCCCGCACCTGAGTCGTCGATTGCCGCAATTTCATCACCGGCGTTGATTATTGGCGCGATAACGACCCGGAAGATTGGGTGGTAGGTACCGCCGCTGGAATTGGTTAGCCCGCGCACTCCCCGCGTGGCCAAACCCTTTGCTCAGGAAAAGTCCTAACACGGCGACATTTCGACCATCGTTGCCGACGATGTACGCAGTATGTCCCACAACTGGGTTAGAGCGGGAACGATGACTTACGCTTGGCTGGCATGGCGAAAACCCGCGCCTAGGCGTGCCACCCCCCCCCCCGGTTTGCAACGTATACTAATCAGAATTTTATACCACAACAAAAATGGGGGGCGCACGCATACCAACTGGCGCGGTCGTCTGCTTTGTTGACTTTGCCGCCGCGTTCGATTGCGTCCATCGTGAGTCCGTATGGCGGATAATGACACTAGATGGTGTACCGCCAAACATCATCTCCTTGATCAAGGCCTATTATCGCTCCACCACCGCGCGAGCCCTGGTCCACAACTATCTTTCCCAACCGTTCGGTATTCGGTCTGGCGTTCGACAGGGCTGTATCCTGTCGCCCATTCTGTTCAACTACGCTATTGACCGGATTCTCGGGAAGGCCCTACACGAAGGTGACGGTGTTGAGTTTGTACCCGGAGACACTGACTGACTGATCTCGACTATGCCGATGATATCGCCTTACTTGCCTAAGTTTTGGTGATTTGCAGTCTATGGTGTCGCGGGTGAACGCGGTCGCTAAATCGGTCCGTTTATCCATAAACGCTGGGAAGACTAGTGTTCCAAGCTTCATCCCTGACCTGGAGAAGGCACGTCTCGGGATTGATGGTTGTCAGCCTGAAGAAGTAGAGTTTTAAATACTTCGGGGTGAGGATGCTGTCCAATGGACAGATTGAGGACGACATTGTCTCCCGAATTAATGCTGCCCGCTGGGTTTCTCAAGCCTTCGAAAATGCCTATGGATCTGACGCTACCTCTCCATCGACACTAAGATTCACCTGTACCGTGCATCTGTTTGGTCTGTCCTCTATGTTTGTGAATGCTGGGCTATGCGCGTGGAGGACGAGCGAAAACGGGAGGTATTTGATCACTACTGTTCGAGGACCATCCTTCGAGTGAAGTACACCGATGTCATCTCAAATGAGACAGTCCGCGCTTGCTTCGACAACGTGAGTCGGCCATCACATCCCGTATGTTCACACCTGTTATGAGTGCGCAATCCCGATAATTCCTGTCGGACTCCGGTCTATCCTGTGTTAGTCCAGCGCATCTACTCGGTGACCCGTTTTAGGGCCGCAAAACGTACCCCAGCATAGCAATCACTCAGACATAAACGCAATTGCAGAATGGCGCTATATAGCCGTTTTGAGACGCGCTTCAGTGGCTCAGAAGGCAGGGTTGTCGACTTACAACATCTTCGACGGGTGCTCACAGTGCGTCGGCCAGCAGCGCAACCATTTAAAACAACTCGTACGCATCGCGTAGGCAGGCCATATGGCTGAGGCGAAACGGTGGACCCGGAGAACTAGACTCACTCCGCCCACGCCCGACCAGACAACATGCCTGCACTGCCAGCGCACGCCCAAGGCCCAAATTGCCCTTATTGGACACCAGCACATGAGCCCTTGTTCATTCGCGTCTTCAAGGTCAGTTGAAGGGAGCCACTCCCATGTGGTACCAACGAGACCGCACGATTCTGTCGCGTTTAGCCGTCATCAGACACCTCTGACATCTCGTAGCCCTTACGCATGCGGCCGTACTTTTTGATTAGTCATCCGCCCGTTCTGACACCTGATTGTCAGACAAATCACGAACCACTGCCAGGTAGTCCATTCAGCAGCCTAAGCCTCCCTAACCCGCTCCACGCGTTCTCGCACCTTAAAGCATCTCATCCGCCTATTAGGATACATGCGTGCGCATGAAAACCGAAGCCGCAGTCACATGGGCGCGACATGCGCCCACCTGTCCTAATTGCGGGACGGGGCGGACATTGCCGTCCGGACTCAAGTTCTAAACCACAGGCGTGCAGGTCGGCTGATGACGGCAGCTTGGCAAGAAATAGTCATTTCACATTGTCGGTGAAAATCCCCTTGACCAAAGTCTCGCTCACTACTCAGGCAATGCTTATGGTGAAGTTAGTCATCGTACAGTGAGTGACCGATCTAATGAAATTTTGGCTAAAATTCTGAAATGCGTTTTCGGTTAGGAAGGATTGCTTAAGCGCGGTTGTAATACTGGTTATCTTGCGACATAATCCTATAATATTTAGGACTCAGCAGAATGTTATCTTTTAAATGCATGGCTCCTCAGTCTCCTGTAAAAACCGTACTCGGCAAAAAATGGCTACTTAAGTAGTATGAATTTTTCACACTGTCGATGGTCTTGCAAATCCCAATACATTTTAGAGAAACCACGAACAAAAGAATAAGGTTTCTTTTAGTCGTTTGATAGAGAATCACGTCAACGTAGTATTTTACACTCAAAGAGGAAGTACAATTAGGTTTTGAAAAAATTTTTAATTATGAGATTTTTTAAGACCGCGCAATGTCCATTCATATAGCATACTAGCTGGACCCCGCCACGCGTTGCTGTGGCTCATTCTGATGAAATGTAATAGAAAGAAAAGAGGAAGGGGACACGTATCTTATATGCATAATAGTTGTGGATGTAAGATATTGTTGTCGTTGCATTGTCTGCGCAGACACAAATATTGTCTAGTTTGCCGACTCCGGAACACGCAACGTATAATTGGTTATGTGAGAAGCAATCCGTTTGCCGATCCAAAACCGCACATTTCTAAGAACTGGCCCTGAGCTTTGCTGATCGTGAATGCAAACGCCAGTCGAATGGAGAAATGCAGTATCCTAAATCGAAATGGCATGTCAGTTGGAATCAGTGGAATGCGAGGAATAAGGATATGCCCTCCTTTAAAAGGTCCTGTCGAGATATTGGATTCCCGTACGTTGTTCACTAATGGGTTTACTGCAAGCCACGTGCCGTTGGCAAGCTTCGGCTGGTTGATTTCTCGCAGCATTATAACCGGCACACCGTTTTTCAATCACAGTAACCGCGCCATCGTCCCTGGCAGATTAAGCGAATTCAAAATTTCTGTGTGACAATTAACTACCTCGCCTGGTTCCCCAACAGTGTCGACGGACGTGCATGGGAACTGTCCCGCTTTGTACCTTAGACTGAATAGTATGGTTAAGTAGGTAGACTTCTTGGTTCTTGGCCGCAAGAATAGCTCGTTCGCTCAGGCAATATGATTCGTATAATTGGGTTGGATATTGGAAAAGCCCTTTTCAACCAAGTTTTCTTCTGACGATACTAAATTTCCGAAGGTAGGAGGTAGTGAAATGCGTCCTGTACTCGGATCAACTGGCACCGATCCGTTCCCAATTGCCGACAATTGGTGTGAGGATATCTCAGCTGTTCAGTCGTATTGCAGCTGGACACGCATATCCGTAGTTAATTTTAACGTCTGGAGGCGGCGCCACAACGTAGAGTATTTCCGGCAGACATATATTTCGTCGGTTGGTGTCGATCGAGGAACTACAGGCAGTGTTTGCCCGAGTCTCCTGCAAACAGTAGCAATGCGTCTCCAAATGGTCTTCTGTTTCCATGCAAATCTTGCAATAATCGGTCAAGGACCTCCAGCATTTTTGTGTGCCAATGTGCATTCATCCCAAACAATAAGTTTGCATTTCTGCAGTAGTT